GGCAGCCGCACCCGTGGGGCTGGATTGGGGGACCTGGTCTGGCCCAGGAGCCATCTCCTGCCCTACGGTCCTCATCCCCACTGGAGGATGTCCTTGCTCTGCCGCCGGTCTCTGGGAGGTCTCAGCCCACCCGGAGCTGTCTGTCCTGGCGGGAGGTGTCCAGGATGGGGTCCCCTTGGGGTGGGTGGGCATTCAGGCATTTGGGTCTTGGGCTTCAGCCCATTTGCCCTACAGACCTGCACCACTGGGAAACACTGATGAGGACGAAACTTGCAGGCAAACTGGCACTGCTGTCCCGGGGCCGAGGCGCTGGGGTACTCACCTGCGCTCAGTCCGGGCTGGCGGCAGCGAGCACTTCCCTGGCCCCTGCTGGAGGATGCTCGAGGTTGGTTGAGGGCTGGTGGGTGCAGATCCAGTGGTCTCCCAGGAGCTCAGCTTCCTGCTGGACAGGCAAGAATGCTCAAGGTCCCTGCCTTGGGGATTCTGAGTCCTGCACTGTCCTGCTCCAGCTCTCCTCTGGGGTTGGTGTCTCCCGTACCAGTGTAGTGAGGATTTGGATGCGGTGCTGCAGGTGGGGCCACGCTGCCGGTCTGAGCAGCCACGGCTGGCATGAGAGCGTGGCTTGGCTTGCCTGAAGCCAGCCTGCTAGGTCGGCCCCTTGGCCGTCAGCAGGGACTGCTCACGTAGGCTGGCCCCAGGCGGCACTCGGGCACCAGCTCTGTGCCTCCTGCCAGGAGCAGGATGGGGAGCTGAGGAGCGAAGGGCTGTGCTCCCTGGCTCCCATCGCAGGGCTGATGGCCCCGGGCGGACGTGCAGACAGCAGGAGCTGCGCTCTGGCTTCCTCAGCATCCTTTCGGCATCCCTTTAACACCCCCTTGGCATCCCCTCATCATCCCCGCATCTGCTGCACCGGCACCCGGCATCAAGCGCGCTGTCCCCGTAGCTGCCTCGAGCGCAGGCAGCAGTGCTGGCGGGAGCACGGCAGCTCTGGCTGAGGTGGCCCTGAGCGACGGGGCAAGCTGTCGTCCCCGCAGCGTGG